ATTCGTTAATAGTTAACGAGTCGCGTTTGGAATAAATGAATCATTGTATCAGTGTATGAGCGATTTCCTGAATTTATCCGGAATTTAATAGTGGGTTAATAGAACATTTGACGCCGAAGAAGTCAAACAGTTCAAGCTGACTTCGAAATTCTCCTCAAATTTTCGAGTTGGACCTTTTAAAGTAAAAATATTATATTTCAATGCTTGTGGAGAATAAACTTTCGTACAATGGTTTCTCTCCAGCGAAAGAAGCGATTTGGTTTATTTTGCTTATAATCGATTCGACAAGATTTTGATCGAAATTATTCTCCGCATGTCTCATTTGAAGAGTCAGGCGCCCCCGGTAGAAGAACTCGGCTTAAATCCAATTTTATGTAAATACACTTCGATTACATTAGAGATAATTTAAGTCACATTGTTTCTCCGAGAGAGCTCGTCCGAAAAAATTGTGTGCAGTTTTGGACTCGATGGTTGATCGAGCAGTCGTTGGTACGAATTGCAAAGGGCCACATCCGCTTCAAGCTATCCTTATTTAGTCAACTTTTTAATAAATTATTGTCTAAGTAATGATCACGTATAGTCTAACATCACTGGCAGAGATGATTTAAAAACGGAATATTTGAGATCAGCTCTGCGTTACATATGTATTCTCTGTAGATATACGCATAGAACATTGAATACATAACAGCCTATACGATTTTTTAGTACTTCTTTTTAGTACTCCACGATTGTAATTACTTGATTCAATTTTGGGGCTGAATATACAATATAATCAGGCGCTCATGTCTGACGACATTAAAATATCAATAGCATACAATGCACTGTCCTTCGGTTCTATATTTCGAAAAGATTAAAAATAGATGATTCATCAATTAGTCAGGGAGGCTATATGAATGCCTGGGCTAAACGATAAATGCATCTCACAATACATGTTTATTCGGTAATCGAGATTATTTGGAAATAAATCATGCAGCCTGAGCTCAGTATCGTTGATAGTACAAGCTGGAAAAAATTGACAAAAGCGACATTTTTAGTGAGACAAGTCCAAAATATTCTCTCAAAGGTGATGATTGAGGAATCTCTCTATATAATAAAAAAATGAGGAGGTTTAAAAATTTACAAGTCGCCCCTCTCTCACTCACTCTCCCCTCTCCTCAATGGTGCGCACATTTCATTCACACCATTGTGCATTAAGCATTTCGTATATAATGAAGAACAGCTCTCTATATAATGACTAAAAAAGTCTATAAAAAAACGGGCACATATGAAATATGAATGTGCGTATGTATTTCAAAGGGTGTCGATATATATGAAGGACTGCCTATGTATAACCGGATACCCATGTATGAAAAAATATCAATATGTTAATAAGTGTCTACATAATAGGTGAATACACATCCTATTTTTTTATACAATGAAGTTGGATCGATGGAGTTCTCGAAAAACCCCTCATCCCTCACTCCTCACGGTCACACTCTCTCGGCCCACACCCTCTCGGTCACACGGGGAGGGGGAGGAGCGAGCGAAGCGAGCGGGGGGGGGGGCGAAGCCCCCCCCGGGTGGGCTAGCGGAGCGAGCAGGGGGCGAAGCCCCCTAGTAGGTAAATAATAATTCCTAAAATCATCAAGCGTATGTCTGTTCTTTCCCTCCAACACTATCCTAATTAAAGAAACCAGTCTATAAAGAAACATTTCTAATATGCCCAAGAGGTCCCCGGAGACGGACGAAAGGTTCACCAATTTGTATTCCGATGTCTATCTTCTAGGAATAATTTATGAACTATATTTAATCGAGAGCCTTTCATTCTTCGCTCTTCTCGTCCCATCCACCTTGCTTCTTCCCACTCCTCCATTCTTTCAACCGTCCAAAAAAAAACCATCGACAACCTGCTTGAATCCCCTGATAATTTAAAAATTCTTATCCTTCCAGCCGGAAAAAAAATCTACTCCTCATTTCCTGGGTGAAAATGGTTATTAATTGAAGATAGTTTTGTAATTGATACGAAGGGATAAAATAACTATCTTAATGGAATTAATAGTGCATCAAATATCACCCTGAAGAACCGTTAGAACACCATGTGCGTGCCATAATTACAAGGTCGTTGTTGATTTCTATACATGTAAGTTATCCTTCTGATCATTGGAATTTATCGTCAACTATAACAGTGAAAATGAAGAAAAAAGGATAAAAACACTCTTATATGTGAGTCTTTCCCATCACCATGGGTCAAGACGCGTGAGCAATTAAAATACCTCAACGCCAATAAACGAGATTCACGCGTGAATTATACGATAACAACTCTGTGCACTGCTCTCTCTCTCTCGTTTCAGGTAGTCTCTGCTACATGTAACCATCCGCCAATTTTAGATTTCTTCATTCATTGCTGTTTCACAAATTTTTTTTTCTCAGTTAATCCCGTTGTTAAATCGAATTTTCTACTCTGATTCTCCACAAGATTTGTATTTTTCGACAGTAATTATGAACGAGTATTAAAAAGCGTTTGACTGGAATACCAAAGATTATTCCTCAATAATAATCAACAGCCAATCACCAAAGGTGAATAAGTATCGCTAATGAGATATCAGAGATTAAAATGAGATGAAATGTCACCACTGCCTTGAAAAAATGAAACTAAATGACTGATAACACGATTCTAATGAAATTTGTTGAGGGGAACAATCTCTCAGTTTCTTTTATCATTTTTATTCATTTTCCATCCAACTTTTGACATGTTTTTCCGAGAATAACATCAACATTTCATATGACAGTCCCACGCATTCACTTCACAGGTAAGGCCACCGCAAAAAAGGAAATGTTGTTGGAATTGAACGTAGAGAAAAAAGAAAGAAACAGAATGGAATGTAACGCCAATGTTGTACGCTTGAATGGAAGGTACCGATGTCTTCTAATATGGGAAAATATGTTGATTGATTCGATGATTCAGATGTCGCGTTGGATAGATGGAAAATCTGTCGAGACGCTCCGTTAACCCCTCCGGCAAATATTTCATGAGTCACGTACTGAGTGCGAAATCAATTCACTTTATATATTTGTAATATTATTAGCGTTTAATCATGGAATTCCAAGTTTCCAAGACCCATGTCACAAGAAGCAGTATTTGTACGTGATATATTGATATATTGGATATCGAATGCTCAAAAAACACTGGATGAAAATATTGTCGAAAGTAAGCATTTTGTACGAAAAAAAATCTGAAACACTGTTGACCGTAGACTTGTGCATACAAAATGATTACGCATGAATAATCCCGATCGTCCAATACCTTAACTCAACAAATATTCCATTCTTGGAACAGTCATCCGCGAAGGTCCATCAAAACTAATTTACTCCTAATATTTAGTAAATAATTGTGAGGGTAGATTTCAAAGAATAAAACAAGCTTTCTATGTTTTTAAATTAATATATAATTTTTAGTCATGTAGAATTTTCCAAGGGTGCCGGGCAGGGAATAGGGAGAATAGGCGGAGGTAGGCATACTTGTTGTTTGGCTCTAAGAGTGTACAATATACAATACAAGCCGTAGGAATTATGATTCGGAAAAATGATAAGGCCGCCCACGGCCCTTTATTATTGCATTCTTATTTTTACTTTATTTCGTTTCCTTAGGCTTTTTTAGTTTTTTTTTTGTTTTTCTTTTTCTATCAACCTCCAGAGGGACCCCATCGACCTGATGCAGCACTACATATGCTCGTGGAAGAAAAGACATGGTTTGAGCAAATGTATTCACAAATATCATGCATTTTATCTCGTAAATTCCAACGGATCGTTATTAAAAAATTCACTGCAGATCGACCGAGTCCCAATCATTCCCCTCCAAACAGATGATTTACCTCTGATTATGTCAATTGTGAACTCCGTGATTGTTTCTAGAATTGGACAATTTATTTCCCAATGTTGATCGACGCTTTTTTGTTCTTCATGGAGATGGATTTCACTTAATGTCACTTGATGGATAAATTTTAACGAAAAACCATTACATTATCAGAGCAAAAAATCTGGTTTCTTCAGCTTAATTATTTGCTTCCACAACTTCCTGGGCATGAGAGTGATGGTGGAATAAAATAACATAAAACGATGAAGAAAGATTGAAAGCAAAATAGTTGTTAATTGATCTTTTCGTCAACTTCGATGTCATCATTTCAGTATCACGGTTATGGGAGAGTACGTAATTTAGAGATGATTCAATATAATGTCACCAATTGTTTTGCAGTTACACTATTTTAATCACTGCTACCTCTTTCATTTGAATAATTTTCAAAAGTGCTGGATGAATTTCTCAAAACAGCGACCATCAAATTTTTCTAAAAACTCGCTCATTACATCAACCATTTCTACGGTCGATACAATGTTTTCATTAACGCCAGAAATTTCATAAACTGAGTATTCAAACAACAACTCCCGCTCTACGAGCAAAAATTTAAAGCAATACCAATTATGAGACGCAAAAAATAATCTATATCATAAACCTGAAAATTGTTTCCAATCAACAGCGATGAAAAGAAACAAGGAAATAACTGGTGGTAACGAAGAAAAGTGAAAGAGGGGAAACCTTAGAAAGGGAAAAATATCTTCAATATTTGAGAAGGTGAGTCGTAGGCACACTCACTTTACGACTATCACATGAATGTTTTCTTCCCTCTCATTATTCAATAATTTAAACCATTATTACACGATTATTCCTGAGTGAAAAGAAAGGAAAACAGTTGGGGTGATCTCGTTGAACAGAACAAAAGTGCGAATCGGTCGAATCAACGTCTTTTTTCGATTTTATGCTATCATCGGTTCTTTTATTTTACTCATTTTTTTGCGCAATATCAGGGCAGCGTGCGCTTTATGCATTTACATGAATTTTTCATCTCCGCTCTAATGAATTACTTTAATCATATTCAATAATTAATATGGAGGGGATAGCTGTATTTATAATATTTATATATAATATTAATATTTATAGTATATATATATATATATATATATATATATATATATATATATATCACTAGGGTACATATGTACAATTCATGGGGAGGGAAGGGGGAGCTGCATAGAGTCAAGAGTACTCACATTATAATCTTAATTGTTTTTTTTTCTCAGTTTTTATCTCCTCTCTTTACTCTTACATATTGCAATAATTAATAATGAATGACGTAAATTCCTCCTTAAGCCTTGTTTTGTTTGTCCTTATTTTCATAAACGCAAGTCGTAGGCAATATAAGGCATAATTCACCATCGCTTTTTGTTTGTTGACGAAAAATTATAGAAAATTAAAATATACAGAGGTGGTAGCAATTCAGGTATCAAACTCTGCTAGGTGTTTTTCACATTGAAGAGACATTTAGCAGAGTACAAAACCAAAAATTGCAGTGCCATCGAATGGAAACTTAATTTTTGAGTCCTGGAAAAATATCATTCCAGGCACTTAATTAAAACTATGTACACACGTCACACGCGAACTTTGAGAATTTTTCAATCTAAAATTTGTTTCCTTCTCAGTATTGAAATCGACATTTTTTAAAGGTCGATTTTATCCTAACCATCACTTCTCTCGTCAAATTGCACTTTGATAATAGTTTTCGACATCATTCGTTGGATTCTTAATATAGTGGAGTCCATAAATCTCGAGCTATCGGCTACGATGGTTCCGAGGTCGAGTCAGGCTCCAGTTCAATTTCCTCGGTGGAACCATCGCCACTCGTAACATCGAGATCCTCATCTTCAGGATCGATCTTGGTACTACTCACAGGCTCGTTCTCTTGTCACGGACTCCCACCCCCACCATCCGCCTCGTTTCTATGTCCAGGAGTTAAGCTCGGACTCCTCCTCCTCTTAACATTACGCCTCTCTTGCAGACCATTCACCATGTTCTCAATAGATTTCAGCTCTCCAGCTGAGATTCCAGTGTTTGATGTTAATGAAGCTCCACTCCCGGGAGTCGGAGATCCTGTTGGAGGTCTTGGAGGTGGTGACCTGGGACTCAAGGTTCTGCTCCCAGGTGTCACGGTTTCGAACGCTGATCCGTGAGATGGCGCTGGTAGTGCGTAGGGAGCAAACCTGTGCCCCTTGAGTTGATGAAGGGGACTTGAAAGAGGGTGAGGATAATGACCGAATAATGCTGGATGTTGGGAGGCTGCCAATGCCAATTGAGCATTGAGCAACATACTAGGAGTCACTCCACTGTGAAGTCCCAGTGGATTCGGAGGTATAAGAGGTCCTGGTCCAGGATATAACCCCGGTACGGAGGGATAGAAATATGGTAGCAAAGGTGGATGCAGAACGGGGGGGCCTACTGAAATGTCAGTCCTCGGACCCTCTGAGCCTGGACCAGCTACTCCTCCACTTTCCGATCCCGACGACTCACTACCTTCACGCTCACTCGTTCTATCATCTCTTTCCCTCGAGCGCTCACGATGATGGGCAGGGTGCGGGGTATCAGGCCCCACAACGTCCAGCAGTTTGTCCTCATCATCCAGCATATCATTCACCGAGTTTGACGACCTGCGTTTATCTGGTGATGCTGGTGCACCTGAAGTCAAGCGAGAACCACTTCCTGATACGGTCAACAGCGCCTGTCTTCTGCAACAACGACTCAGAGTTAGCAATTATGAAGGAATTAGTGGTATACGTGATTTAATGAAATTATTGGGAAACTGGCTAGTGAATATTGATGGGATTTCTTTCCGTTACCTAGGCAAAAGTGAAAAGATCAAAAACATAAAAAATTATCGTTATTTTAAAAATGTTTCTATTATAAAAACGTCCCCTGATGAAATTTAATTATATTCTGCAATTTTTGAGATTTTTACAAAATCATGGACACGTCCTTTGTGTATTAGCTTCCTTTTGTAAACAATAAAAAGATCCGGTTTTTCTATAAGTCAGATATCCTCCACAAAGTCACAGATTAGTGACTTATAAAGTTATTACCTATAACGGGCCACAGCAATAGATTCCGACAACTTGTACAAGCGAAACGTTCGTTCACGTTACACGATACAATTGGATATTCTTGGTTGAATTGTAACCGCAAACCTATGAACCAGTTTTCTTGGTAATGATAACTGCACTCATTTACTTGGTACTTCCCGACCTGTCAGTGGGATAAACACAATCTCACAAAAGTATTAGTGAGAGTATGAAAGAAGGATTTATGGTGACGTTGTGGCAACATCGATTGCCCTGCGGCGTACACAGGGCATTAAATTAATTGTCTTAATCATACTGCGAACGCCTTTCCTAACACAGTGCAAAACCTGGGGCAGCTCTATGTCCGTCTTGTTGGACTGCCTCCCGGTATGCCTTCATATGATTTTTTTTTCGTATTTCTCCAGTGACTCCAGTTGTTCTATGTAGCTCCCAGTGGCAAGCATTATGTATAAGTTTTCTCATGTTGAAAAACGCGTGTCACGACCTCGCAATCGAATATATATGCCTCATTCAAACCTTGTAGAGCTCTACCATTGACTCGTTTTGGATAGGATGACATAAACCACGGTTCGGTCGAGGGTTATTATGTAATAGAGTGAGATAATCTGGGCTGACAATTATTGTACTACATTATGTTGTTTTTTATTAGCAGTTTCCTCATTTAGACTCAAAAAAAACTATTTACGTCTACTAAGATGGATGTGCTATCAAATAGCCATTACTGATTGAGGAGACACAAAATAGTACATTTCAATACGAGTGCGTAAAAATGTATGGTGACCCCCGTGTGCGGTATGTAGCGCTCGCCGAAAGCTCAAAGAACACTTTTCCACGAGTGTCGAACCCTATTTTCCATCAAAATTTGACTTTACGCAACAAGCGATAGAAAAAAATCACCTCCAATTTCATATTTCATCAAATTACTCAAAAACTCCCAAATTAATTGTGCTCATCATCAAGTTGCAACTGTCTACACTTTTTCGTTTATCCTTTCGCCTTCATCAGTTACGTCTTTCTATTCCCATTTTCACTCTTTTGCATTTGCTCTTTGGTTTATTTCTGTTAGATGAACTCTCGAGCGAAAATCAGATCAACCCCTGATCACTACCACCTAACTCCACCCTTTAATCAACCAGTCATTTCACACCTCTAACCATCACAAATTGCATTCCTTTTTCCCGCGGCACACACATATACACACAATTCCTGCCCTCACATGTCTGTACAAACAAGCGGCTCGCACGCACGCCCCGTCGTTAGTCCCGCGTCTCGCCTCCAACTATTTATTTATTCCTGTGTTGTTTTATTTTTCAACCGTTGTTGTTTCACTTTTTTCCTCCTCTCATTTTTATTTGACCCCCGGTTAGCCCCGGGGGCGCGTCGATCTGGCGATAGACTCGTTCGTGTTTATACCGTATACTGCGTGACGCCTTCCTCGACAGATCGATTACACTGGTTCGACGACGCGCGCGGTCGTATGAGTGTTATTTTTTTTTTCGTCTTCATATTCAACAGTCCTGCTATCCCCTGACACAATCCCTGACGATTCCGTTTGATGTGTAGCACGAAAAATCGTGACTGTGACGCTGATAAGGAATGCTGTTTGCTGAGGATTAATTCTATATTTATTTAAATGCTGGAGAGAATTTGAATAGTATTTATTTATTTTTTGTGATTCATCAACGTGGCACTTTTTCGAATGAAAAATTAAGCATAGAGATGTGACGTTTGAGACTTTCTATCCCAGTATTAATCTTTTTGGATAGAGCTCCTCGAGTCGCCAAGTTGACCCACAGCTCCGGCAGCACATTCGGAAGAGCTCACGGGGAGTTCGCTCAATTGAGGAATAAACTCAGGATAAATCGGGGAAATGTCTTCAAATAATGACACCGGTCGGATCGATTAACTTATATTATAATTGATGTATCCTCTTTTGTGTCATACAAGACAGAATTAAACCGGGTTCAGTAAATGCGTTAGTAATTAGAATTCTTGACTATTCAGAGGGAGGACCGACTGTCCTGTTCCGCCTCTAACCGTGATCTGCTAGTTTCTTAGGACTCCAACTCCTTGCAGACCCAAAAACGCTGATCTAAGCGGTCTCACGGTACTGTCCTCTAAGCCAGTCGTGCCATCATCATTGACAGTCTTCAACACAGTCACACAGCTCCATTTCCGGGGAACTGGACTCATGTAGCACCGTGAGACTGCTGACTAACATCGTCCCAACTCCAATGTTTATTGGGACGCTATTTTCTTAGAAAATATTCGTATAAAATATCACCGACGTGAGACTGAAGGTCCTCACGTCACAGAGAATTGATTAATTGGTGAATGGAAACGGAAATTTATTAATTCAATAATTCAAAAATTCAGTTGGAACGTAGACTGACTATTTGGTGTGATTTATATTGTATTCTCATTTGTAAATGATGCAGTTTTTAAAAATTTAGAATCATAAAAAAATAAAACAGATATTCGTTCTAATTAACTTTGAATTGATAGTATTGAAATTATTCAAAGAGAGCAACTATTTATCCTCATTGATTTTAAAATTACATATTCTTCGATTCCTCTGAATTTCTAATTCTCTTTTCCAATTTATGATGGAAGTGTCTGCTGTAAGTACAAAAAAAAAAACTTCATTCTGTTGTCCAATGAACAGGATTACCACTGTTCTTTTCCCTAATACCGTATAATGCGATCAGTGTGAAGTTCATGCACGCTTCGGTTATGTCTTAGTTGCAACACGTCTGGGGGTTGGGTAAGTCTATCGTATGTGTGCACATACGTATAATACATCGGCCGGCTAACAAATCGATAGCGCTTCTCTTCTACACAGGGGAATGGGATTCACTTGGTTAAATGGGTCTAAGCCATTGTGTAGCTAGTAACGTATCACGGCACACCGATACTTCAATTATCAAGCTTCTGATGCTGTTTTATATATTTTTTCCTGCTTCTTATCCCTGGAACAAGTCAGTTGCATGATTTTCTTCATGACGTGAAAAATGAAGAAAAAAGGGTCGAGTCCTTAGGGAATGAAGGTACATAATTTTTTACCAGTGAATAAAAGGTCTTATTAATAGCAATTTTAGTCCCATTAGAATTGCGGAATAAGACAAATGATTATTTTTTTTCCTTTACAAGTTCGATTGATGATAGTGTCATTTGGCTTGAAGTGGGAAAACCGATGGGGCTCTGCGCTGCATATATTTTCGAAGATTGCTCATCGCCCATAGATAGCGTTAAAATAGTAAAATCGAAATTAATTTGCTGAGTAGGACTCGACCTCATAAATTATTCGTAATATGTTCCTCAACTTTTTCCTCATTTTCATTTGATAGATCAACAACTATTGAGATATCATTAGTTCAAAGCTTTTCGGGTAGTACTATACCGATTGTTCCAAAGCAAAATTGGAACGATTTTGCAGGATTAGTTTTTTCAAAATATATATCTCTAATGTTATCACATTATCGAATACATTTATCTATTTCGGTACACTCTGTGGGACTACCCGGGTAGAAATTCAACCGGGGATTCAGCCGCAACTCGGGTGAGCGCGAGCTCAGCCTCGGCTTGCCGCTTGACCCGAGTTCACGCCGCGACACGCCGCTCCATACCGGCTCACAGTCGAACGCTCATCAGACGGCATAACCCGGCACTTGAGTTTGAGCTGTGGCTCAACGCTTAGAACTCAGCTCCGATTGAGTCGTGTCGTTTCGAGTGGAGGGTGGAATAGAATGATATTTATGCATTTTTAGAATATCGATTTAAAATTTGAATACTTTGGAAAATCCTTGTCTTCTTACTATAAAAAAAAATGGAATTCCACTGAACTTTCTATAAAATTTGAAATTTACTGATTTTTCCCTCTGTCATCGAATATAAAACCTGGCACTTTCTCTAAGAATTCCTATTGAATTTCTATTGGAGCTCTATGAGAATTCTATTTAAGTTTTATTGCAATTCTATTGAAAAATTCTATTTTTTTTGCGTCAATGCCATTGAAAATTATGCAACTTTCCCCTGCATTTTTAATAGATATTTGTTTGTAGAAAAAAATCCATTGATTTTTCTAGATAATTTATTCTGTTAGGATTTCTTCCACAGAAACTATTGGGCATGAATTTTCCAAGTTTTGTTCCTGCATTTGATTAAAAGAAAAGAAGAAAAACCGAGCGGAAAAAACTTAGAAATCTTACGCCTAAGAAAATCTATAGGAACATAAAAACCTATTTACTTTCTTGCACCAAATTTTACCTTAACAAAAAGACTCTATGAAGTTGCATAATCTCCTATAGAATCGGCGCAAGAAACGAATAGAATTCTAATAGAACTTCCAGAGAATTCTCATAGAATTCCAATAGAAATTTAATAGAAAGCGCTAGGTTTTTCTGTTGAATTTTTTCATGCGTGTTATTTTGGCATACCTGTATTCAACATTTCCCTAATAAATCGTAGAATATTCTTAGAACTCGTAGGCCTATCGAAAAATGAAGAATATCCTCTCCTGTAGCGTTGATAATTAATAATAAAGGTTCGTTAACGTTTTTCAAGTGATTATTTTTCTTGATTTTGTTTTTTGTATTCGCGAGAAAAAAGAAAGTTTCGACTACGTTTCATTGAATTGTTCTACCTTGTATTTTCAGATTAATCCCATTCGATTAGTTAATATCACGTTATTTCTGATGAGCTTGTGATTGTGCATCTAAAAAAGCATGCCATCTTCACATTTATTCGATTGTTTTTTCGCTCAAATCACGATGCCATTGGACCTGTCAAATCATTATTGAGGTTAAGTATACTGGGATTGAGTAATTGGAGATGAACCTGAGGTTGGGCAGTGGCCATTCAACTAAAGCCCGGCGAAGCGTTTCGTGTAATAGTCTAACGCTGGGCTGTGAGCGCGCGACGCGGCTCAACCTCGGGTACATGTGACGCGCGTAGAGTTTATCCCAAGCTGGGGCGGAGTGGCGTATTTCTAGCTGGGATACGGGTTGCGAGGCGAGCTCGAGCGGCGTGATTTCTACCCGGGTAATCACAAAGGAAATTTAGCTGCTAAGATAAAATGCGAGTCATTCTCTTTTCTCTTTTGTGCAATGCCAATTTCTCCATCTATTCCAGTGTTCCCGGCTTGTTTATATACCTGCTCGTTATCATCAATGATATCTCTGTACTATCTGTCTAATTAATTTTAAAAGACTAAAATATGTTGAACATAACCGAACTGAGCTCTGCAAAGCGTTTGTGGTATAGATTTTGACATATTTGAGTGCTGCTGGGGTTGTGAATGGGAAAAAGGGAATGTCGAGGCTTTTGACATCACCCGGATTTGGCTGACTATTAGTATCATCGTCCACCCTCTGTACCCTTCGTCGTGTGGAATTATAATCCACCCTTTCAGCGTTTCCGACGACTCCCGAATCTCATCCACTCCCTCCTCTCCCTACTTCGCTCCCTCATTCCTCTGTTACAGTGACAACAAGGGGAGAATGATTCTCAACGCTTTTCCCGCGATATCAACTTGCGTTTAACTTCGACAAAGAGAAGGACTTGAACTTATATTTCCTTCAATCATTTGCAGTTGAATTTACCCCACATTTATTGAAATCAATTTCCTGCCGAGTAATGAAATAAATAAAGAAACTGGAAAATTCAATTCATCGCTCATGTTTCATAATATTTCTAATTTTTCGTTATCTTCACGGATTCAAATTAGATTATACCATGTTCCGAGTTGGTTCGTGGTTTCCTCTATCCCTTGAGTTACAATATTTTCGACACGCCGATAAAAAATTCCCAAATCCAATTCCTCTAAGTTTATTAAAGTTCTTGAAAATTCTCATGGAGGGTAAATAAAAAAAAAAGAAAATTTGCAGAAAAAGATAGTGCCTTTTAACTTTAGACGCCCGGATTGAGGGGATGAAGCGAGTAAAAAAATGATCTTTATGTGGCCGCAACGGCTTGTGGTGTGCTAATATAAAATTCAAAGCGGTGAATAGTGGCACCCTCAACGTTAACGATAGTACCGCCCTGATGCATCAGTATGCTAATCCCATGATTGGCTATGTTCCAACCTCATCCTATCCCAACTTCCCCATTGACCCCTCACCCGTTTTTTTCCCTTCAGTTAGAAGCGCTTTTTCTTTACACTTCCCTTCGCATTTGGGATTCAGTTTACTTGCGGTTCATAGAATTGTATGGAATGTTATGACTTTCTTTAAACATTTTTTCTCTCTTGGCATAAATAAATTATTGACAGAAATAAATTGTATTCTATCGAATGCCTCGAAACATTCATAAGACAAATAAATAATTTATGAAAATTCAGGAGACTTTTTAACGACTTTGAAATTCCCTAAAACTTTCGATAAATTCAATCTAATATACGATAATGGAATGATGCATTAACCCCTCTTTGCAGTCGTCCCAAGACCACAAGAATTCTTCCCCAAAAAAAAGCGCCACGGGGTGTCTCCTACATAGTCACCACTAATGTCATCAAAGTCCACTTGAGTTCACTCTCGAAGTTTAGCAGGCACTATCAAATTGGAATAGCAATTCGTTTGGGCGTTATATAGGAATATAATGTCGTATGACTGTGTTATAGATTACACCATGGTGGTTGATGGCATAACCTAACAATGGCCCCAAGGGGCGAGTCGACATAAGCCCATAAACTTGCAATATTGAATACAAATGGACGGATCACAGCTCGCTGGGGGGTGCAAATGAGACCCGGGACACAGAGGGTTGATTCAGGAAGAGTTTGGGTAACTACCCGCTGGGATTCATGGTGAGGGAGTGAAAATATATGAGTCGTTAAATTCAGAACTCTTACAAAAATTGAGTTTTACTCCAATGTAACGATGATTAGAATGTGAATGAGAAGTTGAATTTGTTAATCCATTAGTCCAACTCATGAATTTCAAAGATCAGTTGAAATTTAGGTATTTTTTTAGATCGTCCTCTCGATTAGAGGCAATAGAAGCTAAAAGAAGTTCCTATTAAAACTTTTTCCCAAAAACCGAAAGCAGACGTATTTGGATCTAGGATTTCACTGTAGTTTAAGCAATATATTATCATGAAGTTGTGTGAATTAATCAAAGAAACTTCTCACTAATGCGAACTTGAAATGAACTCCTGAATGAAAAATTATATTACTATTATTTTCAGAAAGACTTTTGGCAGTTTCTTCATCTCGGTCTCTATAAATTGAACTACATTAATACCTGTCCGCTCTTTTTTAATTGCATTATTTATCAAAACCCCATTGTCAATTTTTTTACTTCTAGTTGGGTTCGAATACACATAAAATTGATAATGGATGGTGAAAATCGACTGATATTTTTTCTCAATTTAAAGGGAGACTACTATGAGTTTTTAAATACGCGGGCTACGGAGTGAGATTTATCATGCATTGACGATCGATTATATATGGCTAAAAACGAATAATTAGTCCAGCAGTCGCTTGCAGTATTAAAAATAGTCGAGGGGCTTCAATTTTTTTTTCCAAAATATTAGAAAAAAAGTGTACAATAGCAACTACAAGTTAGCTTTTTGAAATTTTACTCCTAGACAGCTAATTTCGTTTTTTTTTTAACTGAAGAGATTGCACCTAAAAAAATTATCCTCAAAATATTAAAAATATATTCTCAATAATTTCAGAAATATTTTTCTGGCTATTTTATTTGAATAGTGCAATTTTTTATATTAAAAAAAAACGGAATTAGCTGTGTAGAAGTCGAATTTTAAAAAACTAGCTCGTAATTGTTATTATACATATTTTTTTGAAAATGTTGAAAAATAAAAGCTCTGTAGCTCAAAAATTGGAGGCCCCGGACTATTTAAAACATTTTAAGTGTCTGCGGGGTAAACGAACAATAAACAATTATTTTTTTGCACTCATTATTCGTTTTTAGACATATACAAACAATCTTCGATCCACAAACAATCTCACTCTAATAGTTCGCGACTTTTAAAACTCATAGTGGCCTCCCCTTAATGGACTAACATGAACATTTCAGTTGAAACGTTCATGTTTGAAATTTAAGTATATTGAGAATTGAGCATTATCATAATTTCAATTCATTTTGCATATCAAGTTAAAAAAACAAGTCCCTTAAAATTTTATATGAAGTTATTTGTGTCCAAAGCCGATGCCCTAGCGCAGTGGGTAAGAGGGTTGCCTCACATGCTAGAGGTTTCGAGTTCAATTCCCGGTCGGGTAAAATGGTGATGATCTAACCATTCAAAGGCTTGATTGAAGCAACCGCTATAATATATCTTGATAGATTTAGGTAGCAATAAATCGTCGCTGCATTCTAGAGGTATATAGGCGAAGTCAGGGCGTCACGTACGCCCAGCTACCTTACTCTAAAATTACTCCTTAATTTTCTCTCAAAACTCCAGGCTCAAGGTTTAATTAAATTTCCTATGTTAAAACAAGAAATTTTAATGCTCCCTTCAAGTATCGTGGTCATTTATCGTTGTTCAGAAAATCACTCAATTTGGATTCCTCGAAATCATGCCGTCGAATTCGATACGCATTTCAATGACCGAGAGTTCCCGTATAGCTCAATTATATTTTTAAAATGTGATGTCATGTGTGGCTATACAAGTGAATTCCAAATCTCTTTTTCATAAATATGTAGAATTTAGACAATACTGCTATAATTTTCAAAAATATCAAAAACTTCAGATCGTGAATGGAGATTCACTCATTTTCAGAATCGAAATGAATTGGCAATTGTTGAATTTCCAATGAATGAATACTTTGTCAGAGAGGAAATCCTTAAAATTGCATCTATCAAGTCACTTCTAGTGATATTTGCAATTAGGACAGTGGCTACATTTAAACGTAGCATCATATTTTGTGAAGAATAATAATCAATCGTCGTACTGTTTTTAGTTAAATTCAATTGATATTCTTTCCTAAATGTCTACATATAAATTTTGAAAGCGATACTCACTTTTTCTCTCGTTTTCCCGCACCCGTGTCTCGAAATCCTTTGGCGAAGGGATTGTTGTCAATTTTCAGTTGCGTTATCTGCAAAACAAATAATATAGGTTATAGATATTTCACAACAGAAATTTTTTATAAGATCGTAATATTCTAAAATTAACTTAGTCGATTGCATCTAATTTTGAGATGTCTGTTCAGACCCATACCGATTTTTTCATAAAACCTTATGTCTCTACTTTCGAGGTCTGATCATAGTCTTATCGAGATCATCAGGGTCTCACGAGGGTCATACTTTGCGAGGGTCAAATGTAACAAGTGTCATAACTCGGAAGATTCAAATGACCGGGGTAAGGATAATGTCAGGATAATGTGACGAGCCCATCGACTACACGGAGAGAAATGTTCTAGAGCAATTCTAGTGCTAGCACAGGAAAAAGGACGCAAAATGACGACCAGAGAAAAATTCCAGTGCTGGCACTGGAAATTTTATTGAGTAGCACATGAACTTTTACCGTTTTTATATGAAATTTTCACAGAAATCCTCGGAAATTTGATCAGAAATCCCTAGAAATTGTACATCAGCAGCACTAGAATTTTTCATAGCCGGTGGATTGAGATTCTTTTCCCGTACCAGCACTAGAATTTTTCTAAAGAATTTTTTTCCGTGTATATGGGTCAACCGGGAGAGACCAGCAGAACAATCAGAAAGGTCCAACAATCATGAATTGAGCGAAATAATCAGAAGACTCTCCGGTTTGATGCTGGTAATCGTCCAGGATTGACCGAAACGATACTTTTTGTCATTCCGGCCGTGAGGCAGCGCTTCACGGACGCTCCGCTCCGCTCCGCGTCCGTGAATCTCTTCCTACGGCCGTCATAACAAAATAGTATATTCGTCACTAGGCCGAAAGAAACTTTTCTGGCGAATATGATTGCAGCCCTCGCCTTCGGCTCGGGCTGCAAACTCATATTCGCCAGAAAAGTTTCTTTCGGCCTAGTGACGAAATATACTATTCTACAGTGTTGTCTTATATCTCAAAATCATTTCCATCGTAGAATATTTGTCTTTTTCCACCACAGCAAGCTTCCTCCCGAAGGTAAAGAACAAAAATGAGCACAAAGTTCCAAAAAATGTTGAATGAGAGAGCGAAGGGAAAGATGCAATCCCATAAAATCCCTCGATTCTTTAATAATATGACGAATGAATTGTTCCACAAATAGCTTTACGGAAAGCAGTTTAATCAAAATTATCCGAAAGGTAAGTAGAAAATTTAAGGGATGTTTATTACAGACCTACCGAAAGGTTCCGAGATACCTTCTAAATAATGCGGGGAATCTCTTTGAACTCACCAGCTATTATTCCCACTTGATTCGTGATATAATTATTCTCTATATTATTTATTACTCCGGAAATCGCTCATATTATTATTTTTTTATGATGGCCGATAATCTTGGTCATAAATCAAACTGATGCAAATGAAATATTTTCATTTTTTTTTTCGTTTTGAGTGAACACACAGAAGATAATTGACGGAGACGCTTTGATGGTCACGAGAATGTTGTCGAAGTGATTAAAAGACCTAACAGAGAAAGGCTTGTCCCAGTTCCCGAAAAATCTCAGGGTTCCGCGAAATGAAATGGATATAGATTAAAAATGACAGAATTGCGGCAAAAGAAATGAAAGTGCTTCTTCGATTTCTACATGATGGACATACATCTGATTACCTCGAGGCCATATCAGGTATATTTATTACCGGTGCTTTGCACTAGAAGCATATGAAAAACTGTAACACGACTAATCTCAGATCACTGGTATCGATTGTTGGGGTGAAACTATAAGTGCATTAAACATAAAATAGGCGAATGACGGCAGCTATCTGCGAACTGTTTCATTTGTGTATCCGATGAGTATCGAACTGACTGAAGCTATTGTCCATAGAATTGAATGAGTACTGCCTTGAAATTGAGATCTGAATATTTATATCAATAAAACCAGATGATGATATCATTGTCGATAAAGTGGCTAAGATAAGGAATGTAGAATTTGAACTAAAGTGATTGTACATATTAAACAAATTATTTCATTGTTCATTGAGATAAGACCAAAAATTGTGGTGGAGTCTAGGAATTGTTGAATTAAAACTTCTCTGAAAGTTTATTCCATCTGACTCGAGTTGTGTATATAAATGGATTGATTAATTTAAAACTTGTGCAACAAAACAAGTTCTGTGGAAAAAATGTCAATTTTTCTGCAAGAATTTTTCAAGTTGAAATTACAGATAGGTGTTGTGAGGTCAGTGCGTGGAAAGCAACTCAAGCTTATTGGAGTTGGTCAGAATAACCGCTTCATAATAAAAGGAAGAAAGTGTCAATAAGGAGCATACAATTACTTTACACTGGAACTTTTAAAACTCAAATTGAGGGATTTTCAATAATCAAATTCGTTAGTTACATGGTGTGAGAAGAATTTTAAAAAAATCATAAATAAACCGCGTTATTCAAATTTCATTCATCGAAGGAAATTGTTCAACTTTCCCTTATTTCTGAATAAATAACAGAAAATTATTGAAGCTTTAAAAATTCTTGTTATTTTTTTAAATATGTTACGAATTCGAAAAAAAAATCGACCATGGGAAATTGATTGTTTGTGAACTACTTATGAAAAATGGCCATGATCGTAAAAAAATTCAAATTTTACAGTAATTTCATGAATTCTTCTCAGTTTTGGACTCCTTTTATTGCAAATTCTTAAAATGTTTCCTAATGGTTCAAAATAGATAGATAAAGAACTCATTGCAGATCATTCGGTAACCTTAGAATCGAAGGGCTCTAATAAAAGCTTTGATATTCAGCTCGAAATGTTCAGCAGCCTCTTTTCGTACTGCTCTTCACTTTTCCTCGTCCGGTTATTGGCATTGGCCCTTCTCCAACCCTGGAAAAGTGAAAATCACTCCGGAAAAATATCCTTCATGACTAGTAACATGGTTTTTTTTTCACTCGTGTAGTTGGCCAGTCTTCGCCTTCGGCTCGAACGCCAACTCCGCACGAGCACAAAACCCCATGGCATTCGTCCTGAAATATACTATTAAGGAAATCCAAGTAGTTCCGGCATTTTTTTCTGGGGGAAATTCTCTTTAGAGTTTATAGAATAAACCAAGAGTATTTTTTCGGCGCAAATTCAACCTTAGTTTGCAAACATATTTTCGAGAAAACGATTTTTGAAAAAATCAAATTTAATACATTGCGTCCATAAAAACTGTATACTCCCACCTTCAATCCAATGGTTCATAATCTTGAAGCGTTTTCTGGTATACATAATCGCATATAATTTTGTTCGTTATACTCTGCAGTTTGTTTGCGATATTAACCCTAGTCTGGTCACCGAACGCGACCCTACGATTTGGTCACCTCCACGGGGATTCGCCGCCATGTTATTTAGGCTTTAGCGTTGCCGAATTTACTCTTATACTACCCGGGCGCATTTAGCGAGTTCCGGGCAACGTTGCGTCATGGGCAATTTCATTTAACACGGGAACAAATAATTCATCTGTCCGACATAATTTGTTTTCTTTAGGAATTTTGTGAAATATGTTGTTCTGAAAACTGCTACAATTTTTTAGACACTTCAATTAACAACGTCAAATTTTATTGAATTTTTCCGGTTAGCCAGTCAATTGTAATTAAAGAAAAACGACGTGCACCAGGGTTTTCTTCATGGGGTGACCAATCTAGAGTTAAAAAACATAAGTTTACTATCAGATAATTTCAAACAATCAAATTAAAAGCTTCTTGATTTTTACAACAGTCATACTGGATGGTTTGAATCGGCGCGTTCCCGACGTCTGGCAACGGCCCGCTCAAGTAACTACTCAGACCGAACTTACGAGGTTATATGGAATATATGTGCAGTGTTGCTGTATGATCATTAGAGGTTAGACCAACGAGAGTCAAGTGTGAAATTAAATAAAAAATTGTTCACAAGATGCATTAAAGAAATTCCCAAAAAAATGTATTCAACATTGAAAAATCCGAAAAAGTATGGTAGCCAGATTTTCGGAAAAACTGAAATTTTCCTTGAAAAAAAGTTGCTAACTTGAACATCAACGAAATACTTGGATATTCTTAATGAAAAAAAATTGACAAAATGCTTGGATAGCCTCAAATAATCCGAAGACTAATTCTCATCAAAGTTTTTCTTTGAAGTTAGTTTGAGAGATTTCAAGTTCAATTCCATTCGATTTCGTACAAATTCCATTCCCCAAAAAGGCAAAATAAATATTCCTAAAAATTAGAGATCATTCTTTGAGAAACTTCACAAGCCGGAGGCAGTACAGTTGGAACAAGCCTCTTGGAGTGACTCCAAAGGTGTCTCCATAAAACTTTACCCTCGCGCTAAAATCCTTCGAACTCCACTTTTCCTTTTCCTTCTCGCTCACTTCCACTTTACACGCCCCGAGTTCTTCCTCACTGTTTAACTTTCCCCGGCAGGTCAATATTGAATTCTACTTCTAGCGTTGAGCAGAAAAAAAAATTGAAGGAAAGTCAAGACAATCGGGGGGAAAAAAAGAAAAGTACAAAATTTGAGGACTGCTCACTTTTTCGTTCTGGTAGGCTGTTACGGCTATGAATTCCGTTTCCTTGAATACGTAACTTCTGAATGTTGAGTACGGCAACGCAAGTACATCATTTGCTCGAACGAGGTGAAACCTTGGCTGATACTTGTGCATCGAATTCAATATCGTCTGAAAAATAAAAAACGACCATTTATGGGATAGACTGCTTTACATTTTTTAATTATATTACAAAAATTTCATTAACTTCGAGCATTAATTAAAAAAATTCGATCGCATAAATAATTTCACTAAAGTGATGGGAAAAGGCGTGGCGGTTGCCATCAGATCGATCGGAAAATTCACCACTTCAATTTGCAGAAGGTGATAATTCCTACCCTGCCGGTCTTAAGTATACTAGTGTGTATAAGATTTAGAGTGAAATTCATCAAATAATTTCCTCCGTGTAAGGTCTTTTAGAGTTTTTTCTGTAAACCATGAGACTGACAAAAGTTATCTTCTTTTAAATTCAGTGATAAAAATGGTCTCATCACTTTCAAAAGTTGATCTCCACTCATTTATTTTGTTTAGATCACAATTATTTGTCTCTCAAATTCCACTCCGATCAATTTTTCGATTAATTTTGTACCCAATTGGCATGACACTGTTGAAAATGAAAAAAAAAGAAGAAAAAATGAATTCCAGTGCCGCAAAATGCGAACTTTGATATGTGAGCCAGTTTGCAATGCCCATTTGGATCCAATTGGAAGATAAGAAAAAATGGGTAGTCAGATGAATGGCAGTAAATGAAATATTCGAGAGCTGCTTGAGCGAGAAGCTATTGGTGGTCGGCACACTACAAAGAATAAATAATTAGTCCCTGACTAAGATAGGTCTAATCTATACGTTTGTCATTAGCCTATCAATGGGTTAAATGCCTTTCCACTCGTTCTCTTTATCCCCCTCCCATGCCGCCATTTTACAACTGGAATTAATTCAGCGCACATGGTGTTCAGAAATTTTTTAACATCAAAATTGATCAAACCTATTATTGTTGTAACTTCAATCAATATTCATTAGACAAATAATTCTCATCAACAAGGTTCAACGAGAAGAAAGATGAATGAAAAATTGAGGAAATGAAACTACTGTGGTCCAAAAGTTGATACAAACAAGGCAAGGAAGCTTCCCTTCTCTGATTGATAATGACGGAAGTAGACGACCGTACGCTCCTAGTGGACGCACGTGTGTACATTATGAAAAGCCATTTTTGCAACACAATAAACTCTCCCCAACGACTCAGTGAATGATGAGACCATCGTGTATTTATGTCTCTGTCTAGTCATTCAGCCAGAGGAAGGACTGAATGTTCTATAGCTTTTTCCCCCATGAATTTGTAGCCCCAAGGTCGGGAAATTAGGACGAAATTTATGCATACTGATACTTGTCAGCATCAAATTGATATTTTGCCAGCCGATATTGTTGTTATCCTACTTGTAGTTTACAGAAATATATGAAATGGAAAGGGGAAAGTCCCCACACGGCATATAAACACAGAAGCCGACGTAGCTAATGACTCTGTCCGTTGTAATCTCGGGGTGTTATCTGTCCCAGCTACCTGAGGCCCACCTACTTGGAAACACGAGTGAGAAACTAATGTGAAACGAGGGACAAAATCTGTGTCTTTACCACTTCACTCGCTTTTCTGAATGAGCTAAATCTCTCAATTTATTGTCTGAAAAAAGACGATTTCCTATTGCCTCCCCTACTCATATACTGATAGAATGATTCATTAATTGTTAAGTATAAATGAATGAAAGAGTTGGATGTGATCAAAGACATGTTTGTCAAAACGTAATAAATAATTAACTATTAAGACCAACCCCAATGTAGAAATTTTTGAAATTGTTCTTTGAATATGATTACCAATTTCCGTTTTATAATTGTGAAAAATGGAGGGCCAATTGCATTTTGAAGTATACGCCTCGATAGCAATTTCTATTAAGGATATTTAGGCAGTGTCGGTAAATTGTCGCTAAATATATTTTTTTTTCATGGTCAAGGAAAATTCCGTAATTTTTTCGGTTGACAGCAGAACATATCAAACTAAGTATTTTAACATTAAAAAAAAATTAATCGCAATAGTCTCGGCAGAAATGAATAAACTAATTTTTCCTGATACACGGACTCTTATGAAATATATGTTCAAATTGATAATTCACCTACTAGAAGACTCTAAAAATGGAAATTAAAAAAGAAGGTAATGTGCAAAATCATACTGAATTCAATGGCAAGAGAAAAATCTGGGGTACCCGGGCAAAAAGAGGAAATATTAGAATGATTCTATCTCATATAAGCGCATGTTAGCACATTCATTTGGCGCATTTTGTCTATTTCACTTCTAAATAATGAACATGGGTTGGTGGATTGAAATTTGTATCAAAATGTAGGGAATATCTACATCTCAGTTTAAAAAAAATCAATTTTGTTTAAGTACTTGCGATTTTGGATAAACATTCTTAACGTGTCAAAAAACTATTTATTTTTGAGATATTAGTTTTCTTTGTTTAATATTCCTCACGCATTTACCTAGACTTTTGTTATTCTATTGTTAAGAGGGTTCCTTTCAGTAATCCACATTTCGCTGGCGTACACTGAGAAAAAAATTTTCTTATTACTGAAACATATTTTCTTGAGACAAGTAAATTTTCTTCAATTGCTTAATTCTCTGAGGCATCTCAACTCACATAACCCAAGAAAGGTCTCATGCTTTGAAATATTCTTGTACTCAAGTATGATTTTGTCGCAAATGAACTTACTTAAATCGCGTAGAAGAATCGTCAATCTTCTAGTCTTTATTGTTTTCATGATTTTTTCGTTATACACTTCCAATATTGCAATATGTAAAATATTCATGACGTAACGCGGAACGATAGTGATGAATGAAAATTTATTCGAGTTCCGTGAAGTGCACACATTCTGAGATTCAAGCCATTGAAAATAATTTACTTCTCTCAAGAAAATATGTTTCAGATATTAGAAATTTTTTTCTCAGTGTACTTCCGCCATAAAATTCGGATTGGCGCATTCTTTTTGTACATAGAGAAAAATTTTGACAAAAAATTAATTTTCCGTCTCAACTTCTGGAAATTTTATGCATCGAAACTAGTGATGCCGCGAGACATTTCACGAGACGACACGAGACAATTCTTTGGAGAGATTGTCTTGGTCTCAGTGAACACGAAAATTTTTGATTTCGTCTCAGTTTTGAAATACGCAGTAGCGATTCCTCTCGTGATGACTCCAAGTCAATTTATCTCATCTCGATTTCCAGTTTTACGCGTTTTTTATATGTAGAAAACGGAGACGAGATAATCCGAGATAAAAACCGAGATTTTACATTAAAAAACACGGAAAACTTGGGACCGAGATGAGATAAATTGACTCAGGAGTCATCACGAGAGGAGTCGATACTGCGTATTTCGAGACAGAGACGAAAGCAAAAATTTCCATGTTCATTGAGACTGCGATCATCTCTCCAAAGTTTCGTCTTGTAAAGTGTCTCGCGGCATCACTAATCGAAACGTAATTTTTACGCATTGACGCTCCATAAAAACTCACGCGGAGAACAGTGATTTTTGCAAATTTGTAGCGATACATCACAATTACGTTAAACAACGTAATTTTCACGTGATTTCCATAGCACTTCTGAAACCAACGAAGGAGTTAAGTTTTTCAGTTTAAAAAATAACGACTGCGAAGCACGAGTGTCCGTATACTGACGTTTTACGGACAGTGTGATTTAAAAAACTAGATAGAGCACGGTAAAATAAAGCATAGTAAATTTGGACGGACCCACAAAAATTCACGTGCCAGCAGCGGAAATTTTGTTGCGAAATAAAATAATTTTTTGCCGTAAATCCGAGAAAAGGTTCTGTTCACTGAGAGAAAAACAGCAGAGTTCTCAAACAAGTCTTACTTGTGCCAAAAAAATCGTTTGTTAAAAATGATCAAAAAAGGATTTTTTTCTGCCAAACATGTAATGCGTGCGCTGAGTTTAAAAATTTTTATTGCCAAAAAAAATTTTTATTGCCAAAAAAAATTATTTTTTTCAAAAAAAAATATGATTCTCTGTGCAAACCAGAAATATAATTTTTAGCACTACTTCTTCGCTAATTCGTTGATCCCATACGTATTTTGCTCCTGGCAAATGCTAATCTTATATAAAAAAAGAAATAGTAGTTTATCGTTTCGCCTATTCAATAATCACAGGCAAAAAATGAATTCTTAAATGAAATAATAATAATGATATGATAGAAATCTTGTAACTTAGGGACAAAATATTTATTGATAAACTTCCCCCATAAACGATGTTTTTATCTGGAAGAGGCACCATATTGTATGAATAATCCGCCTTTTGAGCGAAATATTTCGTTGTTGTTGAAAGCAGAACAATAATTCATGTTTGAGACATTCGAATTCGCACCAAACAATTATTTTTTTTTGTAATTTTCAACTGATAATTTTATTCGCCTAAACAAGACTTGTTTGAGAACTTATTCGTTTTTTTCACAGTGTAGCGCGCAGCGAAAATGCCGGTGCTGACACGTGAATTTTTCCGGGTCCGTCCAATTGAGCCCATTTTATCGCAATAGCTAGCACAGTAAATTTTTCGTATTTCTTTTCCGTGTGGAAAAACAGTGATGAACATCCTTCGCATATAAACAAATTCATCGAACATCATCTAACTTCATGTTTACTCCAACGCAAGAGCTCCGTGGAGATGATCGGGTCATTGTTTTCCTTCATCAGTAAATCAAGCAGTGGCGCCATCCCAGCGGCAGTGGCATAGAATAGCAAAATACCATACACGTACGAGAGGGATAGAAAAAGCGACTCAGGGAGGTTACATAGTGTGTGGGTGGCGAAGGCACCGGTCTGTGGGGGTTGTATGGTGAGGCGTCCCCGGGCATATCGACCGCCCAAAAAAGGGGTTGGATTTTCCGGCCAACATTGGGCTGGTTATAGAAGGTAGGGATAGGAGGGTGAGTGAGAAGCAGAAGGCGGTGGCGACATGTTCTGCATTCGATAGTGAGTGAAACGTCAGGGGGGTGGGGGTGAGGTGAGAGGACGTACGCGAGTCATGTGTGTGTACGAAGGAGAGAGTCAATCGACGCCATGACACACACACC